CACACGTAACTCTGTGTGTCTCTGTTCCGTCTGGTGTTTTTTGCAGGGAGCACATATCACTTTTATAATCAAGAGGGAAGGGGGCTGCTTAAGCACAATTGTTGTTGTTTTAATATATTTTTACTGATGTCAGAGAGGAAGGGAGAGGGAGAGAGAGAAACATCCATGATGAGAGTAAATCATGAATCAGCCGCCTCCTGCACGCCCCCTACTGGGGTCGAGCCCACATCCCGGGAATGTGCCCTGACCGGGAATCAAACCGTGATCTCCTGGTTCATAGGTCGACGCTCAGCCACTGAGCCAGGCCGGCCCGGTGCTTAGCACAGTTGTGAAATAAGCCACGCTCCTGGCCCTGGGCACAGGGCTCAGAGTGAGAGCTGAGACACAATCCGTAATCTGTCGTTTGAGCCACGAGACGACTCTGCCCGCCACGTCCTCACACGACCGCCTTGGTGACAAACACAGAAAAGGGTTCCCTCGGGTGTCAGTCGCTAGCCTGGGACCCAGAATTCCTCAGCTACTCTCAGGAGATGGGTGACGTCCAGACGTTTCTCGTAACTGTTAGAAGTCACGAGCCTGCTTCTGGGATCATGGTTGTGTATCGGGGAGGCTCCTCCGCAGGCCTCTGCTCCTGGTCCCCCGGGAAAGCCTGCCTCTGTCCTCTCCTGTGACGGTGCCCTGCTCTGTCTCTAGAACCTGTCACTACTGTGGTTGTATTTCTATCATGTTGAATTGTGTGATCCCCCACCCCATGAGCTCAGGAACAATGTGGGTTTAGGGCCCCCGATACCTGTCATCCTGGCATAAATGCATTGAATGAATGAGTGAGTAGTGAATGATTGAGTGAATGACTGAGTGACTGGTGAATGAGTGACTAATGAATGAGTGAATGTATGAGTGAGTGACTAATGAATGAGTGACTATGAATGAGTGAATGAATGAAAGAATGAGCGAATGTATGAATGAGCGCATGTATGAATGAGCGAGTGAATATGAATGAGTGAATGTATGAATGAGCGAATGTATGAATGAGTGAATGTATGAGTGAGCAAATGTATGAATGAGCGAATGTATGAATGAGTGACTTATGAATGAGTGAATGTATGAATGAGTGAATGTATGTATTTGTGAATAATGAATGAGTGGATGAATAAGTGAATAATGAGTGAGTGAATATTTTTTCCACTGACTTATTTTTCAAAAGAGAGTGGAAGCGAGGGGGGAGAGAGAAAGACATGATGTGAGGGAAATACATTGATTGGTTGCCTCCTGTACATGCCCTGAATGGGGACAGGGATCTAACCCAAGTCTCTCTTATTTACTTATTTATTTTAAATATATTTTTATTTATTTCAGAGAGGAAGGGAGAGAGAGAGAAACATCAATGATGAGAGAATCATTGATCGGCTGCCTTCTGCACGCCCCCTACTGGGAATTGAGCCTGCAACCCGGGCACGTGCCCTGACCGGGAATCCAACCGTGACCTCCTGGTTCACAGGTCGATGCTCAACCACCGAGCCACACCGGCCAGGGCCCTGGGTCTCTTGGATAAGGGCACTAATCCCAGTCGTGAGGGCTGCACCCTCCTGACCTAATCACCCCGCAAAGGCCCCGCCTCCAGATACCCTCACAGTGAGGGTTACGTTTCCATGTAGGAATCTGGGGAGGGAGGAGGGGGTACTGCACTGGGGGGTGGGGGGGGGCGGGAAGGAGCTGTGACACCTTGTCATGGAGCAGACAGAGAGCTGAGAGGCTAAGCCAGCGAGTAGGTGCCCCTGGGCGGGGAGGGGAGGCCGGGGACCCCCTCTGGGAATGCAGACAGCAGCCTGCCTGCCGGTTCTGTGGGCGTGTCCCCCGGAGTCGTCCCTACCTGGCACCAGGACACTCGCAGACTGTGCCCGCCGGCCGGCCACGCCGCGCTGATGGCAGTCGAGATGCTGCCGTCTGGGTGCCACGCCGCGCTCCACAGAAGCCCGTTCTGCTCTAATGAGGTTTCAGGCGGGATGCTGGGAGGAAGAAAGCCTTTTAATTAGATCGGTAGCAATCAGCTCCCAAACCACAGAAGCCCTTTTCCCCGAGCAGACAGACACGACGCAATTAAAAGCAAGCCAGCCACCTGCGCGGAACACTGGCTGGCTCACTTTAAGGCCATTAAAAAGAACAGGTTCTTGCCCCGCCCGCGCGGCTCAGTGGCTGGGCATCGACCTCAACCAGGAGGTCACGGTTCGATTCCCGGTCGGGGCACACGCCCGGGTTGCGGGCTCGGTTCCCAGCGCGGAGCGTGCAGGAGGCAGCCGATCCATGATTCTCTCTCATCATGGATGTTTCTACCTCCCTCCCTCTCTGTAAAACCCATAAACTTATACACAGGTGAGGATTTTTTTTAAAAAAAAATTGGACTTTGTGCCCAATTTAATTGTTTAGGTTCATAAATTATTTTTGAAATAGAAAGAGAAATAAGCTAAGCCATTCGCCGATGCCACCCTCTGGTGGTGGGGTAGCGGCGTTTTCATTTTCTATTTGATACTTTTCGGCCGTTTCTCAGGGCTCGATGACAAATGCGTATTTCCTCCGAACGCAGAGGGAAGCTGACCTCTGGGCCCGTGCGGCTCGGGCAGGCTTGGCGCCTTCCCATGTCCACACGTCCCCACAGTCCCAGGAACCAGACTGCTCTCTGGGCGGCGGTGCCGGGCCCTTCCGGAAGCCGCGCCCACCACAGTCACAAGGCTCTTCTCTTCCCTTTAAAGGACGAGAAGAACCAGGTCCTCACCACCAACATCTGGCTGCAGATGGTAAGTGGAGGCCCGGGCAGCCCTCGCCCTCCCATGTTCCTGCCCTTGCCCCTGAGACGCTCGTGTGTGGACGGCAGGGCCAGCAGGGGCCCCGGGAGGAAAGCCAGGCCTGTCGTCCCGGACACCAAACGGCTGCAGGTTCGATTCCCAGTCAGGACGCCTACTTAGGTTGTGGGTTCCATCCCTGGTCTGGGCGTGTGCGGGAGGCAACCGATTGATGCTTCTCTCTCCCATCAATGCTTCTCTCTCTCTCTCTCTCTCTCTCTCTCTCTCTCTCTCTCTCTCTCTCTCTCTCCTTCCTTTCCCTGTAAAAATCGATGAAAACATATCCCCGGGTGAGGATTAAAAGGAAGAGATTTGGCAGTTTGCTCGGAAGGGTGCTGGTTTCCCAGGAGAACCCGTACCTGGGTGACCAGGCACTGTTTCGAGTCCGTTGCTCCGTAAATAAACTCCCCTCTAATCACGGCTGGTTCTTGCAGAGACATCCTCCGCTTCGCTTGCTTTAAAACTCGCCCCGTTCATCGCGTTTACTTACTCAGCCACTTCCAAGCCGCCTGCAATCAGGCTGAGTGATTTACAGTCTAAAAGAAGGTTAAAGACCGGCCGGTGTGGCTCAGTGGTTGAGCGTGGACGGATGAACCAGGAGGTCACCAGTTCGATTCCCGGTCAGGGCACAGGCCCGGGTTGTGGACTTGATCCCCCAGTAGGGGGCGTGCAGGAGGCAGCCCATCGATATTTCTCTCTCTCTCCCTCTCCCTTCCCTTCTCCCTCAAATCAATACAACATATTTTTTTTAAAAAATACACGATAGATACAAGAGCAGCTTCGGGTGGAAGGCTGAGGTTCCAGGGGAAGGTGGACGTGTGGACAGGAAATTGGGCTCCAGGGGCTTCACGTTGCTGAATCCCTAGTCCCAGCATCTAAATCCACCTCCTGGACCCCAGCCGCCCCCCAGCAAATGTTCCTGCAGACGCACAGTGCTTCTGCGCTTTCCGAAGAGAAGAGGCAGAGAGGTGAACAGCGACAGCACGATCAATTCTTCCTGGGCAGCGGGGGATTGATCTTGTTTTCCCATCGTCCCACTCGCCCTTGATTCGGTCCGAGGAGAAAGCGGCTGATGTCGGTGTTTGCCTCTTTCTGGTCCTGGGAGGGAGCAGTGGGGGTTCTCCAGGGCTTAGCGTATTGTTTTGGGGGGCCTGTCCGCCGTCATCTGATTTGACCCAGGAAGGGAGGCGGCGGGCGCCTCTCCGTTCCTGCAGGGACTTTCCGGCCACTCCCACACTCCCGGCTGCTGCTTTGAAAACGGGGGACATTTGTCACCGAGTCGAGAAAGTAAACACCTGTCTTCTCCGAGCTTGGAATTCGGTCGTTCTGCCTGGCTCTCGGTGTCCAAGCCTCCTGGGAAGAGTCTCTATTCCTTTCTACCTCCTGATTCTGATTATGGGCCCAACAGCATCCACATGGCAGATGTTAGGCAGTGAACCGTATTTCTTTCTTTCTTTTAAATATGTTTGTATTGATCTCAGAGAGGAAGGGAGAGGGAGAGAGAGAAACATCAGTGATGAGTGAGAATCATGGATCGGCTGCCTCCTGCACACCCCACACTGGGGATCGAGCCCGCAACCCAGGCATGTGCGCTTGACCAGAATGGAATCCAGGACCCTTCAGTCCCACAGGCCAACGCTCTATCCATTGAGACAAACTGGCCAGGGCAACCGTATTTATTTCTAACTCCTTTCCCTTGTTCATTTCTGAACGTTGTCACTTCACACATTGGGCTCATAGACAAGCGAGCCCGTGGCTTGCTGGGGGCCATGTTAGCAACCGTCATTAAAGGTGATGTTTCTTTCTTTCCCCCACTTTTTTAAAAAAAAATTGATTTCAGAGAGGAAGGGAGAGGGAGAGATAGAAGCATCAATGAGGAGGGAGAATCACTGACCGGCTGCCTCCTGCACGCCCCCTACTGGGGACGGAGCCCGCAACCCGGGCGTGTGCCCCGACCTGGACTGGAACCGTGACCTCCTGGCTCACTCCTCTGAGCTCTGAGCTTGCCTAGTCGTGTCCTAGATCAGTCTCAGTGGTCACGGCCACACGTGCGCCTGACGGCACTGTGCGTGTCAGTCCTGGACAGATCACTACCTGCAGTGGAACACGTCGGAGTACCCGGGCGTGCAGACCGTGCGCTTCCCCGACGGCCAGATCTGGAAGCCGGACATCCTTCTCTACAACAGGTGAGCCCGGCGGGAGGAGGGGCGGCCGTGTGCTGGCATGTGGGTAGCGATCGGCGTGTGTTTGAGCGTTCGGTGGATGTGCCTGATCTCGTATCTATAACTCGGAACACTGCTCCCACTGGGCGTTGTAAATGTCCCCCACCCTTTTTTTTAAGTTTCTTCTTTTTTAAAAATATATTTTTATTGATTTCAGAGAGGAAGGGAGAGAGAGAGAAACATCCATGACAGGAGAGAGTCATGGATCGGCTGCCTCCTGCACACCCCAGACTGGGGACCAAGCCTGCAACCTGGGCATGTGCCCTTGGCTGGAATCGAACCTGGGATCCTTCAGTCTGCAGGCTGACGCTCTATCCACTGAGCCAAACCGGTGAGGGTTGTAAATGGCCATTGAGAAGGCAAGAAATGAGGGCTTCGTCTGTAACCCAAGGCCGTCTGCTTGGTAGACCAGATGCCCCAAAGACAGGTATCCAGGCGGGGTCAGTTTCTAGGAGCCTTAAAATCCTTGGCTAAACTGCGTAGCAAATGCAGGGCATCTTGTTGTAATGAGGCCTAGAAAGTGACAAGAAGCTAAATATTTCTTAGAGAGAGTTCCACCTGGCCCGTGTGGCTCAGTTAGCTGAGCATCCATCCGCCCATGGGCCAGGAGGTCGCCAGTTTGATCCCCGGTCAGGGCACATGCTGGGGTTGTGGGCTTGACCCCCAGTAGGGGGCGTGCAGGAGGCAGCCGATGGATGATTCTCTCTCATCCTGGGTGTCTCTCTCTCCCCCTCTCCCTTCCTCTCTGAGATCGGAGAAGTATATATTCTTTCAAAAGAGGCCACTTGCTGCAGACCGGCCGTCTGTCCTGGGGGCCGGGCTGCTTCATTTCCCTGACGGATGGTGGACAAGGCCGGTGCTGCCAGCCAGCTGGCCGGGCTGCCCGCTGAGAGGGCGGGCGCCAAGAGGAGCAGGCGTGCCAGGTGCTGAGCCAGGGGTTTCTTGCTTGCTTCCTTCTGCGTTACCGCAAGCCTGTGGTTCAAGGGTTGTTCTGAACGAGGCGGCGCTCCGAGCGAGGAGCGGGCCAAGTGAGGGTGGCCTGTCACGGTCTCCCCTGGACCGAGGCCAGGCCGCACTGGTGTTGGTGGTCAGCAGCCTGGGCCCAGGAGAGCTGGGACCCTGAGCTGTGCAGCTGCGGGCGTCCGCCTCAGCCGCGTGGGAGCGTTTGGATTTTTATGAGATATTTTTAAACACAAAAGGAAATTTTGTTTGTTTTTTAAAAAACGTATTTTGGTTCAGTCCCCAGTCGGGGGCTGGTACGGAGGCGACCGATGGCGGTTTCTCGCATCGAGGTCTCTTCTCCCCCTCCCTTTCGGTCTCTGTGAAATGGGGGTGGGTGGCGGCCCCTGGGGACCCGTCTCCCAGGCCGGCTGCGTCCGGCGCTCTCAGACCCGTGGCCGGGGAACAGGCGGCAGCCCCTCCAAGCTGCCAGGACCCGGTCACGACAGCCCGGAGGGCATGGGAGCAGTGCCAGCTCACGGAGCCCTTTTCCCGTTCCCAGTGCCGACGAGCGATTTGACGCCACCTTCCACACCAACGTGCTGGTGAACTCCTCGGGGCACTGCCAGTACCTCCCTCCAGGTGAGCTGCGTCCTCGGTTCTCCTACAGCGACAAGCTGACTGAGGGGTGTCCGTCCTGCTGCTCCCACGAGCTGGGAGCTAGTCCTGAGCTCTGGGCAGGCGCTGCCCCTCAGGTGTTGCTCTCCAGGTGCTGCCCCCTGATGTTGCTTCCCAGGTGTTGCTCCCCAGATGTTGCTCTTGGTGCTGCCCCCTAGATGTTGCTCCCCAGGTGTTGCCCCCTAGATGTTGCTCCCCAGGTGTTGCTCTCCAGGTGCCGCCCTCCCTGTGGTGAATGATGCTGCGGTGAACACACGGGGTGGTTGTTTTGTTTCCTCTGGATACGTACCCAGAAGCGGGACTGCCGGGTCACTGGTATTTCTGTTTTTAAGTTCTTGAGGACCCTCCCTACTCTTCCCACAAAGGCGGCTCCCATGCCCAATCCCGCCCGCCGGCAGGGCGAGGCTGCTGTGGGTTTGGCGCACACCTCGCCAGCTCCCCCGCGCCTGACGGTGCCCGTGGCCCCCCCCAGGCATCTTCAAGAGCTCCTGCTACATCGACGTGCGCTGGTTCCCGTTCGACGTGCAGCAGTGCAAACTCAAGTTTGGGTCCTGGTCCTACGGAGGGTGGTCCTTGGATCTCCAGATGCAGGAGGCGGACATCAGCGGCTACATCCCGAACGGAGAGTGGGACCTCATAGGTGAGCCCCGCGGGGCGGGCGGCCCGCTGCCCGGAGGAGAGCGGCTGTATTCCCGGGCTTGCTTAGCGGCTTGGGATTTTTCCACTCTGCGTTTCGGTGTATTTACTGCGGTGTATTTATGGCACTCGCCATGATTCCCCGCGGGCGATAGGATCAGACGCAAACGCAATGAGAAGATCCGGTGCTTCCCAGGGGGACTGTGGTCATAACCATTTAAATGAGCCGGTGCCAGGAGAGGCGTCCGTACATCCTGCGAATCTTCTGTTCCTACCATCACACTGGACAACAGCAGATTGCATTTATACTGGCGTAAAGTTTACAGTGTGATATTTATCGTCATGGCGGCTTAGTCCACTCTGGGTGGCTCATAACAGACATTTATTTCTCCCCGTTCTGGAGCCTGGACGTCCAAGATAAAAGTGTTAGCAGATTTGGTGTCTGGCGAGGGCAGCCTCCCGATCCATGGACAGCTGCCTTCTCACTGCGTGTCCATGACGGAGGGGCAGGGAGCTCTCCGGGGTCTCCGCTACAAGGGCACTAATCCCACCCAGGAGGGCTGCACCCTTCTGACCTCATCACCCCGCACAGGCCCCACCTCCTGACACCACCGCGTTAGGGGTTAGGTTTCAACCCACGAATTTTGGGGGGACACAGACATTCAGTTTATAGCGCATGTAATTCCAGTCCATCAAAACAGCCTGCTAAGCTGTTCAAATATCACTAATACACTCCTAAAGAACTCGGTGGTAAACCAGGAAGTGCTCATTCAGACACCAATTACCCAATTTTTAAAAAATGTATTTTTTATTGATTTCAGAGGTGGGGGGAGAGAGAGAGAGAGAGAGAGAGAGAGAGAGAGAGAGAGAGACACATCAATGATGAGAGACAATCATGGATCGTCTGCTTCCTGAGCGGCCCCTATTGGGGATCCAGCCCTCAACCCAGGGAATCGAACCGTGCCCTCCTGGTTCATAGGCCCACACTCAGCCACCGAGCCACGCCGGCCGGCCCCACTTTTGGGGGGACATCAGCTCCATGGCTGTGTGTGCGTGTCATAGGCGGTGCCGTAAACAAGCAGGGTGATGTGTGTCCCTTTCCTCCCGGTCCCCACGGAGGCATCCCGGGCAAGCGCAGCGAGCGGTTCTACGAGTGCTGCAAGGAGCCCTACCCGGACGTCACCTTCACCGTGACCATCCGCCGGCGGACCCTCTACTACGGCCTCAACCTGCTCATCCCCTGCGTGCTCATCTCCGCCCTGGCCCTGCTGGTCTTCCTGCTGCCCGCGGACTCCGGGGAGAAGATCTCCCTGGGTGAGTGCCCGCCTTCCCGGGGAGCCGGAGGGGACGCGAGGGCGCTGCCTGGGTTCAGCACCATGGACAGCGCCCGGTCCAAGGGGCTCTGGGTGCAGAGATGTTGCGGGGGGGGGGGGGGGGGGTGTCTGTGTGACGTCACACACTGACCTCCTAGCCCAGGAGGTCTCCCTGACCACACAGGCTCCTGATATCGCCTCTGGGTCGGATACCACAGCCTCATGGGACACCCTGGCAGCCGCTGATCCTACAAGGAGGGTGGGAACACCCAGGAAGGGGCCAGTTGTCCCCTGAGGGGCCTGGGGTTTCTCCCCTCTGCCACCCCGTCCTGCTTTTTGTTTGTAAATAAATATCTTTTTATTGATTTCAGAGAGGGAGGGAGAGAGGAGGAGAGGAGAGAGATAGAAGCATCAGTGATGAGAGAGAACCACGGATCGGCTGCCTCCTGCACGCCCCCCACTAGGATGGAGCCGGCAACCCTGGGCATGTGCCCTGACCGGGAATCGAACTGTGACCTCCTGGTTCCTAGATCGATGCTCAACCCCTGAGCCACACCGGCCGGACTGGCTGTTTTCCTTTTCCTGCCTCATGAGACGACCTGCATACGAATGTCGTAAAGAAAAAGAGAGACACTAGCGCTGACGTCAATGATGCATTTTGTGTGGTTCTAAAGTCCCGGCTCCTTAACCCGACTCCTCCCAGGGCTTCTCTGGAACCCCTGTCCCCCCGAAATACAGACAACCAGGCCCTTGTGTTCAGGAGCGCCTTAGACACCGCCTGCCCCTCCCTCCACCCGCTAGTTCAGTGGTTCTCAGCCTGTGGGTCTCGACCCCTTTGGCGGTCGAATGCCCCTTTCACAGGGGTCGCCTAAGACCATCCTGCATATCAGATATTTGCATGACGATTCATCACAGTAGCAACGGAAATCATTTTATGGTTGGGGGCCACCACATGAGGAACTGTATTTAAAGGGCCAGAAGGTTGAGAACCGCTGCTCTAGTGGTTGGAACCTCCGGGTAGGGCCCCGGCTGGAGGGAACGGAGGCCTCACGGCCGGTCTGTGTCCGGCGCCCTGTCTCTCTGCCTCAGGGATCACGGTGCTGCTCTCTCTCACCGTCTTCATGCTGCTGGTGGCCGAGATCATGCCGGCGACGTCCGACTCGGTGCCCCTGATAGGTAAGGGCCTCCGGGCACCGGCCGGGGAGCGGCACCGCCCGGCCTCCGCCTGAGGCCAGGCCTTGCTGTCACTGTGCAGGGTGGTCCATGGCCTCTGCTCAGCGGGGCACAGGTGAGGGGGGTGGGGGGTCCTGCTGTGCTGTTCGGGTCAAAGATGCAGACATGGCCCCCTCCTCCCTAATCCCCCCTCGTGTTTGTTAGGGAGCCATTAGAGCAGCGGTTCTCAACCTGTGGGTCCCCACCCCTTTGGCGGTCGAACGCCCCTTTCACAGGGGTCGCCTGAGACCATCCTGCATATCAGATATTTACATGACGATTCATCACAGTAGCAGCATGACAGCTATGAAGTAGCAACGAAAATAATTTTATGGTTGGGTCACCACATGAGGAACTGTATTGAAAGGGCCAGAAGGTTGAGAACCACAGCATTAGACGTTCACTGTGTCAGCTGGACCCACCGTCCCCCACAGAGCCTCCCTTAGGACGGGAAGGGCACCCCCTTTCACCCTCAGCAGCTGTTTCCTGGGGCGACCCGCTGTGAGGACGTGCGAGCAGGACGGACATGCTGGGGCCGGGACAGATCCAAGGCGGGGCCTCCCGGGTCCGCCCTCCGCCCTCCGCCCCGGCACCGGGCCTCAGCCACCCGTTCTCTCCGCAGCCCAGTACTTCGCCAGCACCATGATCATCGTGGGCCTCTCCGTGGTCGTCACGGTGATCGTGCTGCAGTACCACCACCACGACCCCGACGGCGGCCAGATGCCCAAGTGGGTGCGTTCCTCCCGCTCTCCCCTGCAGCCCGGGGCCCTCCCCCAAGGGGGCGCCCGGGGCAGCTCACGGACTGGGTTTTTTAAAATATAGTTTCCATTGATTTCAGAGAGGAAAGGAGAGGGAGGGAGAGGCAGAAACATCAATGAGGAGAGAGAATCGGGGATCGGCTGCCCCACCCTGGGGATCGAGCCCACAACCCGGGCCTGTGCCCTGACCGGGAATCGAACCGTGACCTCCTGGTTCCTAGGTCGATGCTCAACCACTGAGCCATGCTGGCCGGGCCCAAACCATTTTTAATGACCGAGTGGTGCTGACTGCCCCAGAAAAAAAACAATCTTAATTAAAAGCAATAATTATCCGCCTCTCAGCACAAGACCATGTTCTAACCAATGGCCGCCAGTGCAATATGAGGTCTGGTTCTCTCTCTCTCTCTCTCTGTCTCTCTCTCTCTAGTTTACATAACACCCCGCGTTTTTCTCTCTTCCCGGGGCATCTGACACATAACGAGCCTCCCAGGGCCGTTCAGGATGATCTGTGGCTGTGACGAAGGCGCCGCCGAGCGCGGGGCAGTGTGTGGCGTTTGCACAGCCGGAGACAAAACCGCGACCTGACAGGGGGGCCACCGGCTCAGGGGGACCTGTGCCAAGAGCATCACTTCACTTCGGAGATGCTTTTGCCTGGAAAGCGAACGGCTCGGGCCACGGAATGGAACCCCGACTTGGCGGGAGGGATCGCATTAGCTTGAGACGGGCCCTGGGGATGCAAAGTCCCCCCCCTTCCCCCCACGTGGCGGGAGAAGCTGCCCGCGCGGCGGCTCAGCTCTCCGTGGCCCCGCGGCCTCCGGTTCAGACGCACTCATGCCCAACAGGCTGCCTCAAGCTCCGGCCCCAGCGTCCCGGTGCCTCTGGGGGAGGCGGGGCGACAGGCCACATCCAGCCCACCCAGTGCTCTTGCAAATGTCATTTATCGGAAGACAGCCGGCCTGCCTGCCTTTCTTTTTTATTTTTTTTAAACAGGCTGTTTAAAACTGGTTTTGCCGGCAGAGCGGCCCTGGGAGGCTCGTTAAAAGCAGGCCTCAGGGCCCACAGGCTAGGACTCTTACTACCTGACCCTGTCCGGGAAGGTCGAGAAGCCCTGCTTCAGACGTTTCAAAGCACCTTCCTGCGTATCCCCTTTTATCCCGGCTTCCCGGCCGCCTAACGCATTAGGTTAGAGGTTCCCAAGCTCCCTAGGTTCGTACACCTTTGCTGCCTGAGGTGTCCCCCCCTCCCCCAGAGCCCCTCGGGCGAAAGAAACACCCAGCAGTTCTGGTCATTAAATAGGTCAGAACCGCCCCGGCCGGGTGGCTCAGTGGTTGGCGCGTTGTCCCCTGCGCCCAAAGGTTGCAAGTTGGACCCAGGTCAGGAGGCAGCCCGTCGATGTCTCCCTCACACGTCAATGCTTCTCTCTCTCTCTCCCTTCCTTTCTAAAATCAATAAAAAAAAAATACATGTCAAGACAACTTACAAGGCCCTAACCGGTTTGGCTCAGTGGCTAGAGCGTCGGCCTGCAGACTGAAGGGTCCCAGGTTCGATTCCGGTCAAGGGCATGTGCCTTGGTTGCGGGCACATCCCCAGTGGGGGGTGTGCAGGAGGCAGCTGATCGATGTTTCTAACTCTCTACCCCTCTCCCTTCCTCTCTGTAAAAAATCAATAAAATATATTTTTTAAAAAGACAACTTACAAGACTTGACAACTGGGCACCCATGAGCCCCGGACACCTCTCCAATCTTTTCCCCGGCACCTGCTATTATTAAGATGTTTTAAAAAAATACATTTTTATTGATTTCAGAGAGAGGAAGGGAGAGAAACATCAATGATGAGCGAATCACGGGTCGGCTGACTCCTGCACGCCCCCTATAGGGGATGGAGCCCGCAACCCTGGACTTGAACCGCGACCTCCCGGTTCCTAGGCGGGCGGGCGGGCAGGGCTGGGGTTGCGGTGGTGGGGGGGGGGGCCTGGGGCCCCTCATTCCCACGGTGTCTCCCAGACCAGGGTCATCCTTCTGAACTGGTGCGCGTGGTTCCTGCGCATGAAGCGGCCCGGGGAGGACAAGGTGCGCCCCGGCTGCCAGCACCGGCCGCGCCGCTGCAGCCTGGCCAGCGTGGAGCTGAGCGCCGTGCCCGCCGCCGCCACGGCCAACGGCGGCGGGAACCTGCTCTACATCGGCTTCCGCGGCCTGGACGGCGGCGGCCTGCACTGCGCCCCGACGCCCGACTCCGGGGTGGTGTGCGGCCGCCTGGCCTGCTCCCCCGCGCACCTGCACGACGAGCACCTGCTGCACGGCGGGGGGCCGGCCCCCGAGGGGGACCCCGACCTCGCCAAGATCCTGGAGGAGGTGCGCTACCTGGCCAACCGCTTCCGCGGCCAGGACGAGAGCGAGGCGGTGCGCAGCGAGTGGAAGTTCGCCGCCTGCGTGGTGGACCGCCTGTGCCTCATGGCGTTCTGCGTCTTCACCATCCTCTGCACCATCGGCATCCTCATGTCCGCGCCCAACTTCGTGGAGGCCGTGTCCAAGGACTTCGCCTAACGGGGTGCTGGCCCCGGGGCCTGCGGGGGGGCGCGCGCGGGCGGGTGGGGACGCGAGCCGGTGGCTGCCAGGCCTGTCGGTGACGTCTCCTGGTCACGCACGTCTTAGGATGTCAGTCGGCGCTTTTTTCTTTTTTTAAATCCTTTCAGCTGGACATCCCTGGAGCATCCTTCCGGTCGGGGGGACCCCTGACAGGGCACTAGGCCTGGTCCCTGCTCCCTGGTGAGCCCTGGTGGCCAGGGCAGCTTCGGGGCCTCGGGGCTGGTACCGCATGCCTGCATGTCCCTCCCACCAAGGCCCAGGTGAGCCCCCCCCTCCCCCCGCCCAGCCCCTGCTTCTGCCTGTGCACAGCCCTGGACTGGACGCCTAAGAATAAGCCACACGCACTCCCTCCCGACACCTGACTGGGGAGGGGACGCCCAGCTCAACCTAGAAACCTAACCAGCGGGTTTTCCGACGACTTGGCTTTTAGTGACCAGAGAGAGTTGGTAGAGAGAAACCGTGCTGTGCTGTTTCAATGTTAAAAAAAAAAGAGAGACATAGTGGACCTTGTCTGTGACCCTTTCCCCTGCCTGATTTCCGCCACCCGCCCGCCTCGTCTGGGCAAGGCCGGGCCCCAGGCCAGGCAGGCGGATTTCCGGAGACACTGGGGAGTTCAGCGAGCCTGCTCCGTGCGGCAAATCCCAAAGGACGAGCGGGCTCCATTAGAACGAGCAGCCCAGCGTCCTCTCCAGAGCCAAGCGAATCCATCATTTAAAAAGAACGCGTTAGCCCTGGCTGGTGTGGCCCCGTGGATAGAGCGTCGGCCTGCGGACTGAAGGGTCCTGAGATCGATTCCGATCAAGGGCACATGCCTGGGTTGTGGGCTCGATCCCCAGTAGGGTGCGTGCAGCAGGCAGCTGATCCATGATTCTCTCTGACCATTGATGTTTCCATCTCTCTCTCCCTCTCCCTTCCTCTCTGACATCAATCTATACTAATAAAAATGTAATATGCTAATTAGACCGGATGTCCTTCCGGACGAAGCCAGGGCTGCGAGGGACGCCTGGGTCCCGGGTGCCGGAGGGAAGCCGGTGCCTGCAGCCGGGGGAAGAAAGGCCTACTCTTGCACGAATTTCGTGCATCGGGCCTCTAGTAAATATATATTTTTTTAAAAAGAATGCATTAGAAAGCTGGCTGAACGGGTGGGTTCCCTGGAGATGTGCTTTGAAAGCCAAGGAAACTTTCATTTTAAACTTACACGGTGCCAGAAGTCACTGCTTAGCTCAGTGGTCGCCAACCGGTGGTCCGCAGGCCACTGGTGGTCTGTGAGGTCCGAAAGGTTGGTGACCGCTGGCTTAGATGCTCTAGCTGACAGTAGTCACTTTGCTTCTTCGCATAGTTCTTATTTTTTAATAATATCAGAGGGAGACACAAGAAAATATTGCCTGTTCTGTCTCATCCAGTAACTGCTCAGAGCTCGAAAGCTTTAAGCCCTCCTTCCCCACCCCCCCGGCCACACCCCCGCTTTCAGGGTCTTTAACACCCCCGCTTTCAGGGTCTTTAATTTGCCTCTAACCCCCGAGATGGATCCATCATGAGCAAAGATTGGATTTTTCCGAGCAAAAGAAATTGCATACATGTCTCCAGCCATTTATTTCACGCCTGCTGGGTGACGCACACAGATTCTTTGCACTGAGGATGGCGGCTTGCACATGCTGTGTGTGTGTGCGTGTGCGTGTGCGTGTGTGTGTGTGCACCTGCTCAGAACGGACACCTTGTTTACAATAAAATTGATAAATAAGAGCATCCCCAAATCACACTGTCCTCAGAGTTCATCCATTTTACATGGGACAAACAACACACAGCATTCCCTCCTCCCCAATCCCTCTCTCCTATTAAACTACCTTTAGAAACAAGTAGAATGTTTTGATGTGTAAAGAAAATGCTTCAGCCCTGGCCAGCTTGGCTCAGTGGTTAGAGCACCAGTCCTCGGACTGAAGGATCTGGGATTTGATTCCAGGTCAAGGGCACATACCTCAGTGGCAGGCTCGATTCCCCAGCCCCCGTCAGGGTATAAACACCTCTCTCACATTGATGTTTCTCTCTCTCTCTTCCCCTCCCTTCCCTCCATTCTCTCTAAAACAAAACAAAACAAAAATCAATGGAAAACATATCCTAGGGCAGCTGTGGGCAAACTATGGCCCGCGGGCTGGATCCGGCCCGTTTGAAATGAATAAAACTAAAAAAAAAAAAAAAAAAAAAAAAAGACCGTACCCTTTTATGTAATGATGTTTACTTTGAATTTATATTAGTTCACACAAACACTCCATCCATGCTTTTGTTCCGGCCCTCCGGTCCAGTTTAAGAACCCATTGTGGCCCTCGAGTCAAAAAGTTTGCCCACCCCTGTCCTAGGGTGAGGAGAGAGAGAGAGAGAGAGAACGAGAGAGAGAGCCCTTCATTTCTTCTTGCTCTCTGAAAACTGATCCCTACTACAAATCTGCTTTTGAAAACAGCCTTTGTGGCTTTGTATTTTGTAGAGAAAAACATAGACAAGCGAACAAAATAGCTCGTATTTGACCCAAAACGACTCTGCCATTTAAGAACGGAGTAAGGAGGAGAAGGGCGTGTGGTTAGAAAAGTGAATGCCTGAAAACAGTAGCCGTGTCTTAATGAATTCGCCTGTGCACTTGGGACTCTTCCTGTCTTACGTCTCGAAGTGTTTTTATTTGTTTATTTGCCTTTGATGTTATTGACTGATTGGCATATAGAAAGTGTGAAGTTTTATGTTGTCAATGGATCATATTTTCCTTTGTAGATCCTGGAGTTTGGTTCTAGTTTTAAAAGACCCTCCCCATTCTGAGATTATAAATAAACTTACTCTTATTTTCTTCTAAATCTTCATGGTTCCATTTGTCTACATCTTCTAACTCCCTGGAATTCATCTGTTGCAGGTAATGGAGGTAAAGATGCAATTTTTTTTTCTCCAAATGGTTGGTCACTTGTGTAATAAAATAGATAACCGTACATTTTGGCAATACAATTATAATCCTTTCCCCACTTGTTCAAAATGCCACCTTTTTGTAGACTAAAGGTCTTTAAATGTTTGGGTCTATTTCTGTTTTATTATCTCTCCATGCATGCCTTCAAATTTCTCAGGCTTTATTCATATTAGTGTCAAATATTCATATTAATGTGAATATCTGCAAATCAACACTTCCCTCAACTAACCCCCCCCCATACACACACACACACACACACACACACACACACCGTAATAATAGGGTCTTTGTGAGAATTCAGGGAACAATGGCTAAAAAGTCACTGTCAAAAATTATTTTGACATCTCATTTATAACTCTTCTCCAGCTATACTTTAGGAGTTCTGATTTTCATAAAATCAGATGAGTGTTCGATATCTAGAAACAAATGACCCTTTAAAAAAGTACTTTTGAGCCCAGCTGGTGTGGCTCAGTGCTGAGCGTTGACCTATGAACCAGGAAGTCGCTGGTTTAATTCCCGATCAGGGCACATGCCCGGGTTGTGGGCTCCATCCCCAGTAGGGGGCGTGCAGGAGGCAGCTGATCAATGACTCTCTCTCATCATTGATGTGTCTATCTCTTTCCCTTTCCCTTCCTCTCTGAAATCAATCAATATACATATGCATACACACACACACACACACACACACACACACACACACATATATTTTAAGTACTTTTGAAAGTTACCACTCATTCCTGGAACAGTTCATACCAGGTACTAAACAAAGTGCTTTTCCTCTTTAACCTCCTCAACAACCCTTTGAATAGATGGTGTATTTCCAGATTACAGAGAAGCAAACCAGAACACATACAAATTAGCTAACTTGCTCAAGGCCACCCAACCAGTAAATGGCAGCCAGAAAGATGCCGAGAGCAGCCCCGCAATTCTAAGATAATGAAAACAAATACAATCACTTAGCAAGACTTACACCCATTACTCACTCATCGCCAAGGGTTGCCAAAGTCGATTTGGCTTTTTCCAAAGATGAAAAAAAAAAAAGAAGTTGCCTTGTTCTGGTTTGTCCTTATCATTATATAAAGATATCAATTGATAAACACATATATGGGTGTACAAAATGATAAACATACTTTGACTGACGTACGGAGATATTTCTGTTCTATTCTGTGCCCTTTCCTACTACGCTAAAATATGCTCTTCTATCCCAGCTCCAAAGCAGCCAAGCATTCAACTCCCAGAAGGTTGAAGCCACTGACAAGATCTATAGGATTCCACGTGGGAAAAAAACTGGCCGCCAAACCCCTTCCGCAGACAAGAGACGTATTGCTGTTTACGAAGCCCCACTGCGGATCAGCTTTATTTATCGTTCCTATTTCAAGAAAGGTCATGTTCCTGCTGGACGTCACAACCCCTGAGCTGGGCATTTTTCTTGCTTGTCCTCATGTCAGACTGTCCTATCTCAGCCAAGATTTATGTAAGAAGAGGGCTCCTCCATTGGGTTCAGGAAAGACAGTCAATGCATTATCCCTCATGGTTATTTCACAGTTGACTAGACCTCCCTCAACGGATGACAGTCTACCCCAGAAGTGATGCATCCCCTGGGTCCTTACGATGCCCGCCTGCGATAACTAGGATTCAACACGGCCGATGTTAACACTTTACGGGAGCAGCGCCGGACAAATGCCTTGCCCCTCAGAAACTTCATTTCGGCACGTCATTTCTTCTACTGGCAACCGAAGCAGAACCAGACAGGCACCAATTTCCACTGAGGGGTATTTCTGAATACGAGATTCAGGATTTGCCCGGCTGGTGTGGCTCAGGGGTTGCGCATCAACCTATGAACCAGGAGGTCATGGTTTCGATTCCCGCTCAGAGCACATGCCCAGGTTGTGGGGTCGATCCCCAGTGTGGGACGTGCAGGAGGCAGCCGATGCATGATTCTCTATCATCACTGATGCTTTTATCTCTCTCTCTCCCTCTCCCTTCCTCTCTGGACAAAAAATATAATTTTTAAAAA